TCAAGTGAAGATGTCGCACAACCCCGAGAGCACGGGAGGGGGGCGGAGCCAAGCATCGCCTGGGGGGGAGCCGGAGGTGAGGCTTCCCAGATCCCGTTGATGCATGAGGGTTGAGGGAGGCGGTTTTGCAGCAGGTGACCTGTCTGGCTTGGTTTGATACAGGCTGATGGCTATTCGCTGCTCGTTCAGCCTGCCATGTTGGGGAAGACGCTGAAGCACCGGCCGCCGCCCATCAAGCTGCCGTCCGTGTCCGCTAGCAGCTCCTCAGGTAAGAGCTGGATGTCCTGGTAAGTCGTGGTTCCACCCCTGAAGTGGGGATGGGGGTGAGGCTCGTGGGTCGTCCCTGTGTCATGTCTGTGTTGCGGACCTGTTGGTGCAGGTACTCCATACTCCTCCCAGACGTCCAGCGGCCAACTGAAGTGCACAACGCCCCCTCCCTCCAAGGCACAACCCCTGACCCGGAAGCACTCCCTAGAACTGGGCCAAGTGGGTTTGGTGTCGCCGGCAGCGCTGTCGCCCCTGGGATCCTCTCAGAGTGAGCATGCTGCTAAGCCACGCCCTCCCCAGCACCACTGAGCAGATCCGCTGTGCTCATGGGAGTATCACTACCACAGAAATGTCCTGAGGATAGAACGATAAATGATCGGTTAAGAGAGATAGCAGAGAGATAGTCTAGTTGCTTAGACCCACCTCCTTTATAATCTGATTGGTTATCTCTCTGAACCAATCATTTTTCATTCTGCCCACGTGTACAATTTCCAGTAGTAATCCCCTGATAGTCAGGAGGGTAGCTGTGACATCAGGCATTGTACTCCCACCTCCAGGATCAGGGACCCCCAAGCCGTCGACGCCGACGCCCACCAACACCCCGTGCTCCACGCCCCATCCAGCGGATGTGCAGGCAGCCACGCCCTCAGTCACGCCCACCCCTCCAGACGCGGCCATGGCCCCCCAGCCCGCCCTCCTGGCCCCCTTCGCGCAGCAGCAGATGGCCCTCAGCCAGGCCCTGCCGGTCATGACCATACCGCTGTCCTCCATGGCCACCTCCATCACCACCGGCACCTCCTCCTCGCAGGTCATGGCTAACCCCACTGGGCTCAACTTCATTAACGTGGTGGGCTCCGTCTGGTAAGAGCCAGCTGTGTTTGCTTCGTCAGACGCTTCATTTCCATCTAACAGTTGTCTGTGCGCTCATGAGCCCCCGTCTCTCCGCATCTGCGTGTACAGCGGCCCGCAGACCCTGATGAGCGGCTCTAACCCCATGCTGAGCTGCAGCCCTGGTGCTCTCACCCCAGGAATCAACCTTGGTGGGATTCTGCCACCTGCTGGCCTCATGCCCACCATGCAGCCCACAGCACAAGGAGGTGTGCCCCCAGTTCCCGCCACACCGCTATTAAATCCATTAGCCATTAATTAAATATTTTGTTATGTCTATTTGAGGCTTTGACATCCTGAACTGTGTTGTTAGTAAATATTGTGGGGTTTACATCAATGAAATTATACATGAATATGAATGGATTTGACAACTTGATCTTGCCGGTTGACGTACAGAGATGTTGTTTCTGTCTCCTTTACAAACCAGGGAGTCCCTTTGGCCTGGGTAACCCTCCAGGCCTTCGTCCCCTCAATCTGCTCCAGGTACATCGAGCTCAGCAGCCTGACTTGTCAGCTGAGCGCTGCGTCTCATCTTTGTCTCTTACTGAGTTTTTTTCTCCGCCCCAAAACCTTCCCCAGATACCTGCAACCCCACTGATATTCAACCCCCTGCAGCAGCAGGTCTCGCAGTTCTCCCCCCAGCAGCAGAGCAGTCAATCAGCCACCCCCAGCCCCCAACAGCAGGGGGAGCCGGTGAGCACTCGGGGCAAAGAGGGGGGGGTCGTCTATGTTGGTGTTCAGACACATATACATGTGGATAAACCGAAGCAGAACAACAATGATTGAATTGCCGCGCCTCTTTCGCCACCTACAGGTTGATCAGGGAGCAGCAGGTCCAGACCAGAGTCTGGGAAGTCAAGCCCAAGCAGCAGTGATAAACCTAGGGGGTTTCATGTCCCCCCAGGCAGCAGGTACGCGCTCACGCAGCCCAACACAGACAGACGCAGGCAGACATGTAAAGCAACCCCCCCACGCATACTTGGATGCCCGTCTCACATCGCTGCATGTAACACCCTGTCTGTCCGTCTCATCAGTCAGGTTTGGTCACGGCCCCCATAATGCCGTCTCGGGGTGTGGTGGGGGGGTAACCGGGGAGGTCACATTACCTGTAACCCAGCCCCAATGTAGGTTGCTGCAGTCACGGGCCCTTGGTCACCCCTCCGTCGGCTCCTGGTTCAACCAGAAGCGTCCTCACCTCTGGACTCCCAGCCTGCTCATCCCCCAAACCCTTACGACCACACTAATACACATAGATACTAACGGCCGTGACACTAATGGGTCTGCTGTCCTGGTGTCTCTCCTCGTCCCGTAGGTCGTCCCTACACACTTGTGGGTCAAAATGTTCTTTTTATAGTTACATTTTTTTTTTTTGTTCTTAATGACTAAGAGGTGACCTCTGACCTCTACTCCCCCCCTTTGTGCTACACTCTATCCTTTTTTGTTGTTTCTTCCCCCTTTCTTTTCCGAATCCTCTGAATC